GACAAACTCAAGCCTTTTTAAAGAAAGAGTTGAGTTTTTTCCTTATTTTACCCAGACATGCCTACAACTACAGACAAGCAAACAGCATCTGAGAACTCTGTTTGAAGTTTTCATCTCCAGCCAGACAGCCATGCACTTCTGAACTTTCTTAGCAATCTCTTCAGCAGGTGAAACTCTCTGGTTCATTTATTTTCCCTTCAGAAGGGTTAACATGAAAACATTTTATGTTCATTACTCAATGTATTCCAAAAGCTGACACATTTTCCAATGCCTTTTGTATCTCATTCATTTGACTAAGCCACAACATTTCATAACTGGACACAACTACTGTGCCCGGCTCAGTACAAGTGAAACATGGAGCTCACAAAGTGGGTCTGGTGGGGGTCAACAAGGATGTTTGGGGGACTGAAGCATCTCTGTTATGAGGAGAGGCTGAGGGATTTGGGCCTGTTCACCTCGAAAGAGACAGCTTACAGGGAACCTTACTAATATGTGTAAATATCTAAACCCAGGGGGTGCCAAGAACACGCAGCCAGGTTCTGCTCGGCGGTGCTGAGCAATAGGCAATGGGCAGAAACCGATGCTCGGGAAGTTCCACCTGAACGAGAGGAAGAAATTCTTTTCTGTGTGTTGCGGAGTCTCCCTCACTGGACATATCCCAGAATGGTCTGGACACAATGCTGGGCCATGTCTTGTGGGATGACGCTGGCTGAGCAGGGCGGTGGGACCAGGCAGCCCGCGGCGGTCCCTTCAGCCGGACCCATTCAGCGCTTCAGCCATCAGTTTGGACACCGAATCCCACCAACTCAGTAAATTAAATCCCACAGGACGTACACGAGGCGTTCGTCATCCCAGCAACGAGCCAACCCTTGAACATCACCCGGGGCCAAACCGCGACACAAACGAACCACCAATGCTCCGCATTAACCGCGTCCCCCGGGCGCCCGGCGCTGCCCCCGCCCCGCCGCTGCCGGGGCTGCGCGTCCGAGCTCTGAGGGGACGCGTTTCTCCCCAGCGCCCCGAGGCACCGAGCCCCGCGGGGGTGAGGCGGGCAGGGCCGCACAGGCAGACGCGCTTTCCCCGCGTGCCCCGAGGAGCGGCCGCACTCACCGGGCACGGGCAGCTCGGTCCCCGCCGCGGGCGCGGCCATGGCGGCCGGCAGGAAGCCCCGCCGGGCCGCGCCGGGCCGGGCAGCGCCGCCTGGCGGCCGGCGGGGGCGGCGCCACCCGGCCGCCGCCTGAGGGCGGGCGGGGGAAAGCCTGGGACGGGGCTGTGGGCAGGACACGACCCGGGATGGGCTGGGCTGGGCACGGAATAACG